ATACTATTATCTTTAAGTCAAATAGAGAAAAGATTGAAGTATGACATATTTAATACAAGAATAATAGTGTCTAAAATAGAGACAGAAGGTGAAACGGTGGTTGCCAAGGACTGAGGGAAAAGGAGAACGGAGGGTGGCTGTTTTTTGGGTACAGTTTCAGTGTGAAAAAAGCAAGGTTCTGGAGATAGAATGGTGATGGTAATTGCACAACAACAGACATGTATTCAATGCCAATGAAATGTATGTTTGAAAGTTGTAAATTTCATGTGAAGTATATTTTACCACAAGTTTTAAAAAATGAAAAAAAGCACAGATTTTGGAGTTAAAGAGATATGGGTTCCAATTCCAGTTCTCCCTTATTGGCTGTGTACCTATGAGCAAATTGCTTAATGTAGGTCACTGAAAACAGGACTAGTATCAGAGAGTAACTCAATGTTTGTACAGACCTTTACATATTGGCCAATAAATGACAGCTTATAAAACCAAGACAGGTATCATTTTACACTATTTATATACTTTCATCTAAATATTAGCCCTCCTAAAAGTTTGCTTAAGAGTTATAGACACAAAATAATAGTAATGGCTTACTCTAATATTAATAGTAACAGCTATTGAGCACTATACAAGGGACGTTTTACATACCTGATGTTATTTAATACTTAATCTATAGCTTAGGTATTACTGTGGTGCCTCAGTTCACATACCTAACTTGTTTTATGATTCTGGAAAAGACTGCCACATTGGCTTGGCGTGGTGGCATTCACCTGTAATGCCAGGACTCAGGAAGCTGAGGCAGGAGGACTGCCATGAGTTCGAGGCCAGGTGGGCTACACAGTGAGTTCAAGGCCTGCCTGAACTATATGGCAAGACCCTGACTCAAAAAAACTAAAAAAAAATGCATTTGTGAACCTACACAGCACTGTACTATCCCATTTAGACAGGAAAGGGAAAAGATTTAGAGAAATTAAGTAACCTGCTAAAAGTCATAAAGGGTATACTATTTAAAGTGTTCTATACTGCCCCTTCCTCAAGAACAGGCTGATTGCCCTCCTATGTGAGCATAATGGCATCTTGTGCATCTCTCCATCTCAGTAACATTCATTATACTGTAATGTAACATAGACTCTCAGCCGCATCAGAGTAACATCCATGTGGGTTGGGACTGTTTTCAGTTGCTCAACAAACTGAGCAACTACTAATAAACCTGTGCTGTGTGTGTGTGGGTACATGTGTGTCGGCATGCATGCACATATGCACATATATTTGAAGCATCTGGTCTAAAAAGGAGAAAACAAAACAACAAACAAGCTAAGTAATTAGACATGTGGTAAGTGCTATAATGGAAAAGAACTGAAGACCATGAAAAAGAAAGAAAAAGCTTATTTCAGGGAGGTGGGGGGTAGGAAGAGTCAAGAAAGGCCTCTGAAGAACTGTCTCATTTGTTCGGTGTCAAACGTATCACCGGTACAGAGAAACTACCTGATGAATATATAAATGAATGGACTGATGTCCAGAAGAACTTACCAGTAGGAGTGGTCACCAGTTTAGTTGTCATAATTGCACCATTACTGCTAACTACCATAATAGGGGAATTGCTACTGGTGGGCAGAGTTGCAGTCACTGGTTTGGGTAAGATTTTACTTGGTTGAACCTGTTGTGTGATGATTTTAACACCTTTGAAAGAAGAAAGATCAATCTCAGTACAAATTTTTTAATACATGTCCCTTACACCAACCCAAGAGGACAACAGCCGCAAATATTTACTCAATCTTACCTGGAGATGCTTTTTTCATATTGATGAAACTCTTTAAACTTCTGTTCCTCAAATTCCTATCTTCCCTAATTTCTCTCATTCCAAGAATGCAATTAAAACATTACAATAACAAAATTCTTCATTTGGATTTTTTCTGTTTTTAAGACAGAATGTATGTATGTAGTTCAGGCTGGCTCTAAACTATGTAGCTACGGCTGTTCTCAAACTCACAAGATCTTTCTATCTCAGCCTCCTAAGTGCTGGCATTACAGGTATATGCCACTGTTATGGTTTGTGTCTGGATGTTCCCCCAAACACTCATTCAGTCATGGGGTGAGCTTCGAGAGTTTATCATTGATATATGGTAATGTTGGGGTTACAGGTGTGAGTGCTACACCCACCTTGGGACAGGTAGTTTGCATACAATGTAAAGGAGGGAAAGAGGCTGCCTACCTCCACTCCTCCCTTGTGTTCTTGTTGCTTTTGCTGTTTTCCGCTGCTGAACTGTTGCCCTCTGCCATGTGCCACTCTGCCTTGGAATGAGCCAAGTATGGACTGAAACCTCCACAAACTATGACCCAAATAAACCTTTCCTCCCGTAAGTCTGGGCATCGGGTATTTTGTCCCAGCAAGAAAAAAAAGTAACCAAGACAGCCACTATGGTCCATGCAAAGTTCTTAAAAGAAAAACAAACCTTTACTCTTATCTATGGTGGTGTCAGATAAGAGCTTTCAAAATTTTCAAACCCAAAGTTAGCAACCAGACTTGAACTTCTACAAATAAAATAATCTGTTCCATACAAATCTCTGGTATGAAATAACTAGCAAAAAAAATCAAAAACAAAATGTAGCTAATACTATATTCCCCTTGGGATGAAAGGATTAGCTAATGTTATATTCTCAACTCCTTATAAAAAGCTGCTGAAACTGTGAGTTGTGGCATACACTTGCAATATGTGCTACTTGGGAGTCTCAGGCAGGAAAAGTACTTGAGTTCATGAGTTCAAGACCACCCTGAGCAATACAGCAAGACCTCACCTCAAAAACAAAATGAAACAGAAAAAAACAAATCAAAAAGATACTGAAAACTGTATAGACCAAGAACATCATTTATTTGATTTTAAAAATATTTTCTTTTAAAAAATAGCCCACACTGTCAAGTACTAACTACAAAAAAGGAATACATTATTATTGTACCAACACAGAATCTGCTTTTGGACAAGATCTTAACGGGAATATGCAAAAACAAATTTAAAATGTTAGGATGGTGATACTACTGTTTTACATTTTCAGAACAGAAAATCTGATAAGAAGCAAAACTATATTTCAAAAATGAAGATGAAATCTCTTTAACAGAAACAAAAACTGAAAAAGTGTGTTGCAGATTGGCCTTACAAAACATTAAAAGAAACTATGGCTAGAAGGAATATGACCACAATGTTTGTTCTTCTTGCTTCTATCCAATAATGCATTTACTAGAAGTTCTAACAGGGAAATTAAGTAAGAAAAACAGGAAAAAGGGGAGAAGGGGGAAGGGGAAAAGGGATGGGACAGGAAAGGAAAGGGAGGGGGAGGGCGGAGGGAAAGGGGGATGGGGAGGAGAGGGTTGGGAGAAAGGGAGAGGGAAGGAAAGGAGGAGGGGAGGGAAGGAAAAGGGGGGAGGGGAGGGGAGGTGGAAAGGGGAGAAGGGAGGGGAGGGGGGAGGGGGGAAGGGAGGGGAGCGGACAGGAGGGAGAAAGAAAAGGCATCCAGATTGCCACAAAGAAATGACCTCTAATTTCAATGACATGAACCTTTACATAAAAAAAAACTAAGGAATCCACTAAAAATCTACTTCTTTTTTCTTTTACTTAGATGGGTCTGCAGGGAATGGTGGCACAAGCCTCTAATCCTAGCACTTGGGAGGCTGAGGCAGGAAGATCACTGCAAGTTCAAGACCAGCTTGGACTAGAAAGTGAGTTCAAGGCCAGCCTGAAATGCAGTTGGACAGCAAGATCCTGTCTCAAAAGACAAAAAGAAAATAAAAAATTTTAAAAATAAAGAGATGTGTCTCACTATGCTGCCCAGGCTGGTCTGAAACTCCTAATACCTCAAGCAATGTTCCTGGTTCACCCTGAGTAGCTATGACTACAGGTAGGTAGCAGTATAACAGGCTAAGAAAATCTAACCAAATGGGAAAACTTCATGTTCACAAAGATTTAGCATTACAATGGCAATATACCTCAAATTAATCTATAGGCTCAACTCAATCCCTACCAGAATCTCAGGGGCTGGGGATTTAGCTCAGCGCCACAGCGCCTGCCTGGCAAGCGCAAGGTCATGAGTTCGATTCCCAGTACCAGAAAAAAAAACTATCAGAATCTCAGCCAACTTCTTTCTAGAAATTGATAAGAAAATTCCAGGAATTACAAAAGGACCCAGAATAGCTAAAACTTTAATAAAGGAAGAAGACAAAGGGGGAGGGGAACTCAACCTTTCTCATTTCAAAACTTACTTCAAAGCAATGGCAATGAAATCAGTGTGATATTAGCATAACAAATAGACATACAGACCAATGGAATAGTAGTGAGAGTCCAGAAATACACCCATATACCTACAATCAACTAATTTTCACAAAGGTGCCAAGATCATTCAATGGGGAAAAGAACGGTCTTTTCAACAAATTGTGCTGGTATAATTAGATAGACACATGCAAAATAAAGTGAGAACTTACTAGTCTGTTTTTCATTACTATAATGAAATATCTGAGACAGACTAACAAAACCAAAGAGGCTTATTTATCTCACAGTTCCAGAGACTAAAAGCACAAGAGGAGGTAGCCCCACTGGTCTGTTCTCTAGTGAGATCTAAATACCATCATGGTAGGAGTGGGTACAAGAGGAAGAGATCATATTACCAAAGAAAAATTCAAAAGATGGTCTCTTTTTTCTTTTTTTCTTCTTTGTGCTAGGGATCAAACTCAGAGTCCCGTACATACTAAGCAAGCATTCTATCATTGAACTATATCACCAGCCCTATAGTCACTCTTATAATAGATTTTTATAAGAGTTCAGGGGCAGCACAACAGCTACCTAAGTCTCTTCTGAGGAATAGTTGTTCCAATAGAACTCCTACCAGGCCCCAACTCTTATAAGTCCATACCACCTTTCACAATACATCAAGATCTAAGCTATAAACATATAAACTTTTGGGGGACATACTCAAACCATATCCAAGCAACAGCACACTTTTTACCTCATACCACATATAAAAATTAAGTAAAAATGGATCAAAGACATTTAGGTAAAACTATTACACTCTTAAAAAAAAACTGAGAGAAAATCTTTTACAGTCTTGGACTTCAGAAAAGATTAATTGTAACACTAATAGTATGAACAATGAAAGAAAAAAATAAACTAGACAATAAAATTCATCTTGTGTGCTTCAAAGGACACCAAAAAGAAAGCAAACAACAAAGAGTAACTCAGAGAACGGGAGAAAATATTTGCAAATTGCAGGCCTAATAAGGGTTTAATAGACTATATGAAGAAACTTGCAGCTCAACAATAAAAGGACAAACAACCCAATTTAAAAATGATCTAAATTTTAAAAGCACATATTTTTCTTCAAAGAAAGTACACATAAAAAGTCTAGTAAGAATACAGAATTAGTGGGGTTACAGACACACCCCTATAATCCCAGCACTCAGGAGGCTGAAGCAGGAGGATCACTATAAGTCCAAATCCAGACTAAATTATATGGTGAGACTCTGCCTCAAAAAAACAAACAAACAAACAAAAAAAAACAGTATTATGCTCAGTGCCATTAGTCATCTGATAAATACAGAAAAGACCACAATGAAAGTATAGGCAAAGGTGAAGAGCAACTGGAACTTTCATACACAGCTGTTGGGGATATAAAAATATACAAATGCTTTGGAAAATAATTTGGCAGTTTCTCAAACAATTCAACATAGATTTACCATACAATCTACAATTCCATTACTAGGTATACACACAGGAGAACAGGCTGTGGATATAACTCAGTGGTAGAGATCTTGCCTACCACGCATAAGAGGCTCCGAGTCTAATCCCTACCACCACAAAACATACAAAATAAACCTCTATAAAATTGACAAACTACTGCAAGTCTGAGAAAGAAAAAGACACAAAACACCAATATCAGAAATAAAAAGGAAACATTAATATAGATCCTACTATAACCATTAAAAAAATAAAGAACTACTGTTAACAAATATTCAACCATAAATTTGACAATTTAGAAAAAAATAGATCAATTACTTAAAAACTATAAAGTACAAAACTCAACAAAGATGAAACAGATAATCTGAATGAACAGTCCTCTAATCATGAAACAAACTGAATTCATAATTTTAAAGCTCCCAAAAGAGAAACCTTCAGTCCCTGACAGTTTCTCTGGAGAAGTCTACTAAACATTTAATGAATTAATACCATTCTCATACTATCTCTTTAATAAACTAGAAAAGAAAAACTTCCAAATGCATTTTTCTAAGGCCAATATAACCCTGATACGAAAGTCAGATAAAGACATCCAAAATTTTAAAAATTACAGTCCAATGTCTGCTGTGAACGACGACAAAAATTGAATCCAGCAATATATAAAAATAATTATATACCATGACCAAGTGAAGTTTATTTCAGATATACAAAGCTGGGCTGGGGATTTAGCTCAGCAGCAAAAGCGCCTGCCTGGCAAGAGCAAGGTCGTGAGTTCGGTTCCCGGTACCGGAGAAAAACCAGATATACAAAGCTAGTTCAACAGAAAGTCAATCAGTGTAATCCAGAATATCAACACACTAAATAAGAAAAAGCATGATCATATCAACTGAATAGAAAAATAAAGCATCTGACAAAACTCCAACATTTATTCATTATTAAGGAAAAAAAAAAAAATGTCCCAGACAAGTATGAATGGAACGAAAATCACTAAACTTGACAAAAACCTACAGCTTTTATTATACTTAATGGTGAAGACTAATGCCTTCTCCTTAGGATTGGTAACAAGGCAAGGATGTCTATTCCCTCCAACTTTACTCATTCAGCACACTAATGGAAGTTCTACTCAGTGGAATAAAACAGAGCAAGGAAAGGAAAGGAGCAGGAAAGGGAGAAGGGAAAAGACAAAGTAAGAAAAGAGAAAGAAAGGCAGGAACAAAGAAAAAAGAATGAATGAAGAAAGAAAGCAAATACTGACAGGAAATGAAGAAAAAATGTATTCACACATAAATGGAAACTTAATACATATGTAGAAAATCCCAAGGAATCTAAGTAAAGACTTCTAGAAACAAGTGAGATTAGTAAATTCAAAGGATACAAATTCAGTATTACTTTTATACCCCAACAAACATGTGAACTGAAATTAAAATCATAACATCACGTATAATCATGCCAAGAAAATGAAATACTTAGGTACAAATCTAACAAAACATATACAACATCTGCATGCTGAAAATTAAAATACTGATGAAAGAAGTCAAAGAAGACCGGAAAAAAATGGACAGACATACAATATACACGGACTGAAAGACTCAGAGAACTGGTGAACAGAATGAGCATATCTTGTAAACATTTTCCAGTTACCTGACTCTTGTTTGATTTGGATGGTAGGTTTGATACCAGGTGGCAAAGAAGACTGCTGAGGCTGTTGCTGATGAGATACTAGAGAAGGCTGAGCCACAGAAGGCTGTGTCTGTTGTTGCACTTGATGTAACTGCTGCTTAGGAGATTGTTGATGCTGTTTAGGAAACTGTGCAAGAATCTGGGTCGGGGTACTCACTAAGCTTTTGGGGGAAGGAAGTCTTGTTGTTGCCATTTTGATTGCTGATGTAGATACACCTATAGAAATATAAAGACAATTTGACAGGAAAACATAATTAAAATTACTTTGGGTTATAGCAGATAATAGTTAAAAATCCAGGTAAATCAGTAAAACTATGATTTACTTACTGAGCACCTAGTGAGTGTCAAGATATTATATGTGGTGCTTTATACATTTGATATATAGTCTTCTAACTGTAAGGAAGGCGTCTTTCCTCTCAGACTCAAGAAAGAACTGACTTTCCTTCAGTGAAGTGTTAAAATGAAAAAATCATGTTTGCATACAGGTCTCTCTATAGAAAGTAAACTAGTTAATTTATTTAATATTTAAGTAATACATTTTTAAAATATTACTTTTTGAGTTATAATCAGTTTAAATATGGTATCAGATAAAATAACATTTAATGTTCATCTTTTGAACTAGGCAGCATATAAAGATACAGCTTTCCTGTATCTTATTTTCCATTACCTATGGTTATTTAGGGATAATACTTAAGTCATTAAATAGTCCTGTAAAAAGTTATAATGTATGATATATCTACTGCTAAAAAGGTAAGATGATATAATATTGTTCTTTTCAATAAGATACTACAATTGAGGGTAGGATGATGTAATATTGTTCTTTTCAGTACAGTATTAGTATTGAAGCACACAGGTAAGAAGTACTAGCAACTTCCACGAAAGATGTATAAGTCTGAGAAATTCTTCCCTCTGCTACATTTTTCATCTGAATTTTCTTATGATTCATCAACTACTGAATAGGACTATCTGCCCATAAGTTAATATTCCTAACTGAGATAAGCAGAATGTAATTCACCATGTTAATTTTTGAAGCACTGCTGAATCAGTGAAAAGAAACTAACAAGCAATGGGTGTGGTGCACATCCCTATAATCACAGCAGTTTGGGAGACTGAGGCAGGAGGATCACAAGTTCGAGCTCATCCTGGGCAACTTAGTGATTTAGCCAGAACCTATCTCAAAATAAAGGGCTGAGGATGTAACTCAGTGCAAAAGCCCTAGGATCAATTCCCAGTACTTCAAAATAAAGGAAAAGAAAAAGAAATGAACAGCATAATTCTAAAGTACTAGGGATGTTATTTCATACCCTCCCTCCACCACATCTCTTCCATGATAATTAACCCCAAGAAAGGTGATATATTCTTTTTTTCTTCTTCCTGTGGTATGGAGATTGAACTCAGAGCTTTGTAAATGCTACTCACATCTTATGTAAATGTGTCTACTGAATGATAAAAATAGAGGGATAAATCTTGAGAGGTCACACTAACTCCTGATACCTTAGATTTCTCCTCTGCTGAACTTTTCCTTGTCCTACCCATCTAAAACTGACTATGTAGACTAAGTTAAACTAAAGACTGAGGAATGCTTTAGGAAGCAAAAGGTATATTCAAAATTACCCGAGGGCTTATTCATATTAAACATTTACACCTGCTTCACCACCACCCCCACACTACTACAGCAAGGAGCTATTTTAATGACATGTGTTCTATATTGATTTGTTGTGTTAAATTAGATCATCAATGGAGCAGCCCCTTTTGGTGTCAACATTTTATGACTCAATGTTACACAAGTAAATAACATTTTTTCAACCTAAAAAATTAATCTCTACAATATACTCATAATATATTGTCCTATATTAATTAAGTTAACTGTGTATATGGGTAACTCCCTAACTTGACGATGATCTCCATATATATTTGTATAGGAAAAGTAACTGATGTAAAAGCATTCAATGTGACTTCAGAATCAGGTATCAAAATTGTATCTAAATGAAGCTTCAACTCATAAATACACAATAGCTATTTGACCTGACTAAAGTACTTAGCCTCTCTGAATATTTATTCATTCAATAAGAATTTATTAAGTACGTACTTAATGCTACATCTTTGGTAAACTATTTCTTTTTTTTTTTTTTTTTTTCCTCCGGTACCGGGAACCGAACTCACGACCCTGCGCTTGCCAGGCAGGCGCTTTTGCCGCTGAGCTAAATCCCCAGCCCCGGTAAACTATTTCTTAGTCATGAAATAGTCTCTATCTTGAGGGAAATTAAAGTTTAGAGTAGCTTAGCATTCTGGAGGCCCTAGGCTCAATTCTCAGCACCACAAAAAAAAACAAATAATCAAATGAACAATCACACAAATCTATCATGAAAAACTAAAACATGCTATTTGTGTTTTACCAAGGAAAAGGTGCTCTCTTCCCTTCCTTTGCCTCTTGCCAAGCAAGAGGTGATTGGGGGAGGGTGTTAGAACTCAGATGGTATGAGGCAGAAGTATGTAGGTTATCAGAGTCTAATGGAATGAAAGCAAAGATAAGAGATTAGTTACATACTAGAGGACTGATAAAACAAGCAAGTATGCTAAAAATGCTGGGCATGGTGGTGCACATCTGCAATTCCAGCACTTTGGAGGTTGAGGGAGGAGGATTGCCTGAAGTTCAAGGCCAGCCTGGGCTACACAGTGAGTTCAAGTCTAGCCTCAACTACACAGTGAGACCTTGTCTCAAAAAAAAAAAAAGGAGTGTTTGACTGAAATTGGATGTATCAGTATGAACTCATCATTTTCGCCATATAGAAATAAATACAGCTGTAAATATGTGTGTATATGAATGTTATTATTTAGATCTAAAATATTCTCCCATAATCTTGTATGTTCAGAGGTGGAGCTTTAGAAGGCGACTGGATCACAGGGCCACTATACTCATTGGCAGATTAATCCATTTATGAGTTCAAAGTTGAATGTGTTGCTAGGAAGTGGGGTCTGGATGAAGGAGGTGGGACACTAAGGGTATGACCTGGAAGGGTATATTCTTGTCCCTGGTCTCTCAGCCTCTTGGTCTCTCTGGCTTTCTGACTGCTTATGTCTCTCTGCCCATGTGTGTCTATCTCTTTTTCTGTCTTTGTCTCTCTCTGTCTTTCTCTCTCTGCTTCCTGTCATGGGGTAAGCAGTATTACTATACCATGCCTTTTCACTATGCCATTTCTGCTCTGGAACTTGTCAACCATGGACTGAATGCTCTAAAACCATGAGCCATGAGTATCGGATGTTTTGTCCCAGAAAAAGAAAACTAACCAATATAGTGTCTTGAATATATGTGCATACACACACACACACACACACACACACACAGTTATACAAGCTCCCCAGTAATAAGAATGTTTAGCACTCTGATCTTATCCTCTAATTATCACTTTCTACCAAAAGGAACCAGAGCTCCTTGGAGAAATGGCTGTTCCCCATGATAGAGTAGGAATAGTATTGGACAGTGATGGTGAACCGTTTAGAACTTTCAATAATACAAAGAGTCTGCTGCAGCACATGTGCTGTAAGGTCACCAACACTGGTAAAGAATGAGCTTGATAGATATAAAAAAACTTTTTTCAGGGCTGGGGATTTAGCTCAGCGGCACAGCACCTGCCTGGCAAGCACAAGGTCGTGAGTTTAATTCCCGGTACTGGGGGAAAAAAAAAGATAAAAAAACTTTTTTCACTCTCTTTTGAAATTGCTTTAAAAGAAAACTACCTGTTTAAAGCAAACCTATTAGTGCAACAATTATATAACAGAAGTTTGTTGCATGCATAAAAAGTATGACAACCACAACACAAAGACAAGAAAAGAAATGGAAGGGCACTTAAGATTCTAACATAATACATTAAATAATACATTATTTGACAGTAGACTGTTATAAATTAAAGATGCATATTGTAAGCTTTAAACCTGGCAATCACTGGAATCACAGGAGACATTTTTTATTTCTTTATTGTCATTAATGAACAAGCTAATGGCAGCTAGTGGGTTAAGTCAGTGATCCTGCTCAACATCTTATTCTATGGTATACAAATCAGCCCCCACAGCAAAGAATTATCTGGTCCAAAATGTCAATAATCTGGCAGTTGAGAAAATTACTCTTGAGCAACTATTCAAGAAAAGAGAGAATTCACAGCTAATAAGCCAATTTTCTTAATTACTTTCTCAATTATAGGCCAAAATACCCAGTACACACAAGTTAAAGGAGGAAAGGCTTATTTTGGCTCATAGTTTGTAGAGGTTTCACTCCACAGTCCACCGGTTGCAAGGCAAGGCATTGCAGAAGAGAAACAGTTCATGGGATGGCAGGCAGGAAGCAGAGCAGGATCAAGGAAAGATGAAGGATATAATATAATACAATATATATATGTATATATATACACACATTAAATGTATTATTTGACAGTAGACTGCTATAAATTGAAGATATTTAATTTCTATATATAGAGATATTTAATTTCTATATATTTTCATATATATAGTATACACTCCCTTCCAGGTCATTCCCATAGTGACCCACTTCTTTCACCAGGCTTCGCCTCCTAACATCACCTAACCCAGCTCTAAATCCATCAATGGACCAATCCACAGAAGAGTATCACACATACATGATACAGTCACCTCCCAAAAGTTCCATCTATAAGTGCATGAGGCTCTAGGAGACATTTTAAGATGTAAATCATAGCACCAATGAAGGAGATAAAATGAAAATTTTTAAAATAACAAAATCCCAATAAAGCCACAAGAAGATTGGGAAAGACACAGAAAGAACAAAGAACACAGGAGACAAAAATAACTGTCAAGATGACAGTCATAATGACATTAAACAACTGTCAAGATGACAGTCACAATGATATTGATAATGATTGGATATACACATGAACTAAACAATTAAAATCAGGGATGGTAAGACTGAATAAAAAAGCAAAATCTAATTATATAAAGTTCATAAAAAATGCACACACAGATGGGTTAAAAATAAAAGGATTAAAGAGGATACATAAAGTAAACACAATCGTAAGAAAGTTGTACTCCCTGTCTCTGGCCATGTAATACCCTGTATCATCCTAAGGATTCTGCCATCAAAAAGGCTAAATGAGGCTCTTGACCTTTGATTTTCACAACCATGAGTCAAAGCAAACTTTTTTCTTTAGAAAATTATCCGCCACCCACTATTTCTTTATAACAATGAAAAATGGAATAATACATTATGAAGTACTTAAAGGGTGGTAATATGAGCCTAGAAAGAGAAAGATACCTCCCAAAATCATAAAAAAGCAGTAAGCCAGAGCCATGTAAGTAAAATGATGATAAATATTTTACCCACTTTTGTTTTTTAGCCAGTTATTAAAGGAAAACAAAATCAAGTATAAAATAATATACACGTTAAATAGGATGTTCTCCAGTAGAAGGCTGGAACTCAGGGCCTCTCATATGCTAGGTAAGCACTCAACCACTGAGCTATACCTGTAGCCCATCAATTATTTTTAGTCATAGAAATTATTCCCCTTATATTTTTTGTTTTATTTTGTACAGAATAAAAATAAGGACTTGATATTAGCCAGATACTAGTAAAATACTTCAAGACGTTATGATTTGGGGGGATAAAGTCAGGTATGTAGCAAACTCTACCAAAAATTCCAATCCTTTCATTTGGTAATCTTACTCTTGATGCTGATTCTAATAAAAATAAAAGGCCCAATTAAATTCACAAAACTGGAGGTAATCTAAATATTCCACAATGAGAATAATCTAATAAATTATGCAGTTGTAATAGAAATACTACACAGCATTAAAAATAATTAGAATTAGAAAAATTATAGAAAAATAGAAACAATGCTCTAAGAAGAAAGCACACTACAAGTGAATTATGCATTTTTTATTCCAAATAGATAAAAAGTATTGGACATGAGTAAAGGGCAATAACAGGTAAAGTATAAATTGCTATTGTGATATGGTAGTGGGATTACTGGTAAGCATTTATTCTCTACTATTTTCTAAAATTATTTAATCCACTAATACTTAAAAATTTAAAGATCTTAAACATTTTTAAAATACTTTTAGATACTAAATGGGGATCACATATAAACTGATAGGATTGGTGAACTCTACAAAACAGGATTTCATGAATGGAAAATAAGACACTCCACCAGAACCAGCCTAAAGAAAACAAAGTGAAGAGAGTAGTATTAGTACATAGAATGTAAATGAAAGCAACATGCTTCTTAAGTTGAAATAGGGTTAAAGAGGGAAAAGAAAAGAAAAAGTTAACAGAAGATTGTCTTTGATAAGTAATTCATGAAATCCACAAAAGAATATGAGCAAAAGAGTAAGATGAAAGAAAATTTCTCTCACCAACAGAAATGAAGAATCAACTATGAAAATGCACTCACCTAAAAATAAACTATTTACTTCTAAAAACTTAAAAAGTACATTCCAATTATCACTTTTCTGATTACCAGCACCAGAATTACAACTGCCAAATTAAAAACGATCACTTCCAAATGTTAACATGTACAACTCTGTATATTTTATCTTCTAAGAAAAAGGCAAAATTTTACATATAATATATATATGCACATGTACATGTAAAACACATATTTTTTTATATGCTTGCAAATGGAAGGATAAAAAATAATTAAAAGAAAAAAGATTATCAGAGAAAACTAGGAATAGGAGCCATAGACTTAAAAAAATTGAATAACCCATTAATTTGCACCCTTAAATTAAAGGAAGGGAAGGAATAAGTAATCACTGATCTAACAGTAGAGGCCTTCACATAGCTAAAGTGGAAAAACATACCTACATAGTTTTCTTCAAAAATCCTGTATGCCAACAAGGACAAATTAAATGGTGAATTATCACTCACCTTGTGCTACGGTTGACATGACCACAGATGGTGTGGAGGATACAACAGCTGTTACCGCAACTGTACTAGGAATAGGTGATGATGTAGCACTGCTGCTGCCACTGCTGCTACTACTGACCAGAGAAGACTGTGAAGCAGTTATAACAACTGGTGGCTTCTGAGTTGTGGAAGCAATGACTGATGTTGGTACAAGCTTAGTGACCGCTGCATAGTTATGGGATTTGGAGAGAATGTTGGGTACGAAGGTAGAACTTGGTGATGTGGTCACTATAATAACCTAAGAAAGGAAAAACAAGTTATTTTCATGTATCTACTATACTATTAATACATTTAGACTCAGTTATATACAATTCAAAAATGGTTTATAAAATATGAAAAAAATTCAACACAAACATACAACTATAAATATATGAAACTGTTCCTTTATTATCATTATTATTTAAAAACAACAATTTCTGCCAATCAACTATTTTAAAAGGCAATATTCAGTGCTGTGCAAGATGTAGCACAGCAAACACTTCAACATACTGCTTAAGGAATATAAATTGGCACAATCTTTCAAGAAGGCAATTTGGACATTCATTCATTATTTAATATTTATTGAGCATCTACTATGTGCCAGGCATGATTCAAGACTTGGGGTAGAAGAATGAACAAAACAAAGTTCATACTTTCAGGTAATTTATATTGTAGCAAAGGAAGAGAAACAATAAACAAATAAAAAAGTAAATATATGTCATGTAGATACAAATGGAAGAGATAATAAAGCAAGGTAAGGAAATACAGAATGATGAGGGTGCTATATGATTTTTTTTTTTTAAAAGACCTCGGTGTAAGGTGACATTTGAGCAGAAACCAGAGGAAATACAGTTATGAACTATGTTGTAACCTATAAAACAATCCAATTCATAACAAGTACAAAAGTCATAAGGGGGAAGCAAACGTGGTATGTTCAAGAAATTTTATGGATCTAATAAATAGGGTTAGAACTTACAAGACAGAGAGTAGTAGGAGCTAACTAGAGAAGTAATGGAGGACTAGATCATTTAAGATCATGACAATAGCTTATATAATTAATATGATGTGCTCTTCTTCCCCAAAATAAAAATTCTAGCCTAATCATAAGAAAAATGTTAGAGAAATCCAAATAATGGAGTATCCTACAAAATATCTAACCAGTACTCCTCAAAACTGTCAAAGTCATCATAAACAAAGAAAGTCTTAGAAATCCTCACAGTCAAGAAGTTAAGGAGACATGACAAGCAAATATAATGTGGATATCCTGGATGGGATCCTGGAACAGAAAGGCTAAGTAAAATCCAAAAGATCTGAATAAACCATGGACTTCAGTTAATATTAGTGCATTAATAATAAAACAATGTATCATAATAATGAAAAATGTTAAGAATGGGGAAACTAAATAGAAAGTTTGTGAGAACTCTCTGTACTATCCTGTCAAGTTTTTCATAAATCTAACACTGTTTCAAAAAACTAACGTGCATTTTAAAAAATGCGTTATTACATCTGCTAGGTGGAAGGTAAAAACAGAGACAAATTAGGAAATACTTATAATAAACCAAGATGAGATGATGGTGACCAATTGTCTATAGTGGAGGTGATGAAATGTGAACCAATTCTGATTATAGCTTAAAGGTAAAACCAACACAATTTCCTCATAGGTTGATATAGAAAACAGAGAAAAAGAAGTAGGAAAGAGATGTCAAGGTTTAGTCAATATGATCAAAAAACTGTCAGTGACTTAAGGACAATGTATTTCAGAAAGAAAGAATAGTACAGAGTAAAAGACCTAACGTCGGAATTGGTTTAATATATTAAAAAACAGAAAGAAAGGCAGTGTAGCAAAAGTATGTACAGCAAAGAGTAATTAGAAAAGGAATATGAGGCCAGATCAAATTTAAAAGCCATAAAGAATTTAGATTAAGGGGCTGGGGATTTAGCTCAGCGGCACAGTGCCTGACCGGCAAGTGCAAGGTCATGAGTTCAATCCCCGGTACCGGGCGGGGGGTGGGGTGGGGGGTGGGTGGATTTAGATTGTATACTAAGAATAATGGAATGCCACAGAAGGATGTTAAGCAGAAAAACAAAAAAAGGTGATTTTTATTTAAATGATCACACTAACTCCTATATAATGAAAGGCAAGAGTAGAAGCAAGGAGAGCAGTTGACCAGGCAAGAAATGACAGGAGATGCTTGAACTGGGGTGTTAATAGTAGAAATAAACAGAAGTCAGATTATTCTGAGAGGCTGAGAAAAAGTTATTGACAATGAAAATGGTAGGGTTAGGAAAAGAACAAAAGCAAGAATAATTCCTAGAGCTAACATACACTGGCTTATTTAAATCTCTCAATAATTCCACAACATAGATACTATTATTATCCCCATTTTATAGTTGAGAATACAGAATTATTTATACATCTATAACATCACAGTTTTACTTTGGGATGAGTATTAACAGTGCTATAGCAATCCCCAAAACAGAAGAGTATCTTCTTTCACTGAAATTATACCACCTAGGACATCCCTAGGAATTTAAGGAACTTTTTTTTCATTTTTCCATTGCTCTTAAAAAAGGCCTGAGGTTAAATCAGTCAAAACATAACGTATGTACTGAACTTAGTACTCAGTACCTACATTCCAAAGAAGCTTTTATTTTCAGTGTCATAAAGGATTAAAAGATACAAGTACTTGCTAATTATTTGAGGTGTCAAGAAAGTTACAAACATCAATCTTGACCAGCAAATACCTATACAGAGCTCACCAGCATACTTACATATAGCCTTAATAATGTCAGCAAACACCTGTATAGTATTACTAGAAAACAACCAGAAGCATCATATAACTGAGAAGTAAACCAATATGGTAATAGAACCACAAACTTAAGAATCAAATGAGCCTGCACTTAGATCTTGCTTCTATCACAAATGACAGGCTCCTGGGCATGTTAAAATCTCTAGGTTTCAATTTCCATCTGCACAATGAGGATAATAATACCTACCTTGAAAATGATTACAAGGATTAGATGAGATAATCAAGTGAAGCATCTACATACTAGGCACATAGCAGGTGGTCAATATTTGGCAGTTAACAAATGAACTTATTAGTAATATTATTCCTACTTAATAAATATTGAAGAGATATCAGTAAAGACATTATAGACCAAATCAATCTGGAAATTATTTTAATGTATTTTATTTTTGTTTAATTAAAAATATCTTCATCTTTACCCCAAATTCTGATATCCTTTATAATCCAAAGAACCCATAGTCACTACCAACCAAGCTAATTACAGAAGTAATAGCAATTCAGTTTCACTTTTGTCAGTTCTAAACCAACAGTAATTTTCTGGAGGCACATGCTTTGTCAAAGTTTAGCAGGAAAATATGACACAGTTGATTAGTAATGTCTGTAATGGACAAGGGAAGTGGAAGTAATCACACTTATAATCAAATATTTGCAATTTCAGAACAAGAGTATGCATGTGGGATTCTAACCTTAAGACAACAAAGCTTCAGGAAAATCTAATCTTTAGGAGTATGTTCTGTAATACAGATACAAACAATAAAACTCATTTTGAGATTTTAATGTGCAAGATTCTTCCTCATCTGTAATGGGGCTACCCAAAATTAAATCCACCTTGGAGAAATCTATTTGCCCTTTAAAATTACTTATCACAACAGAGGAAATAAAGGGATTTGAAACCAAGTGAATCAAACAGTGTTTATTCAGGCCATAATTCAAATTACTGACCTTCTAGCACTCACAAAAACTCCTTAAGAGTGCTGGGACTTGCACCCTAAGGACAAAATGAAAAATATCAATCAAGCACATGAAAGCATAAAGCTATATTCTGTTGCTTTGTTTATATCAGTGTTGTACCAAAGTTTTATTTAAATGAAGGTACCACATTAACATAGGTGGAAATTTGTCTACCCTGAAAATGTACAACCTATCTGAATTTGAATAATATCCACAAATTGATATATAATTATATCTAATGTAAAAATTATTTTACATAAAACAATTCCTAAGTTGTCCTATACAGAATTCATGAGAAAACCAAAATTAATGCAATAACCACTGCCTTAGTTTCAAAAAAATCTAATTACCCAGAAAAAGATGTAAAACAAAATAACCTAAGAATATTTAGTAAGTCCTACCCATACTCTGTTTGTCCCAAGAAATAAAACTGCTGGCACTGAGTACATAGGAAATACAAGAGTTTTATATCTGGAACATAGTAGATGCTCAATAATTATTTGTGAAATAAATGAATTTTATTTTCAACTTGTTTTAAATGTTTATTTTTTGAACATAGTAAGACAAATCTAAGGTTGTGAATTTGAAATCTAATGGTACAGCTCATAAATGACTTTGGAAATAAAAGTCAATTTTCTGCATTTAAGCCCTCCTAAAAGCACCACAAGTCTGACAACCTCAACCATTCCTGATCAAAAATTCAGAAGGAAGAAATAAATATATATATTCAATATATTTTTTAAAAACTCCACAGACATCATTTATAGATGAACCCTCATCTAGTACAAGTATTTTTATGTACGTCTACAAAGACTGAAAAGTTAATAATGTTAGATGACACTGAATACTCATCAGATGTACAATGTCAAGTTTTTCCATGAATCATCCTATTTAATTCTCCTAGTAATTCTACGAAATACTGCTACTATTTTTGTTGTAGAAGGAAACTGAGACTCAAGAAAGGTAACAGAGCTAGTACTATAACAAATCTATGAATTAATTAGTCATACAAATATTAATTAGCATCTTGTACATGACAAGCACTTTCTAAACATCAGTGAATACAGTGATGAATAAAACAAAATCTCATCCTTCAACCAGCTTAGTTCTACCGGAGAAATAGAAAAGAAGTTTGCAATATAGTATCAACTAGTTATAAGTATAATGAATATGAGTAAACACAGGGAATAGAAACATAGACGGGAGGTAGGTGCACTTTTAGCTATAGCTATATTCTACTATTTCTTAAGATACAAAATGTTAAAAGCTAGATGAGAAGACAAGAAGAGAGAAGTATTAGTAAAATAAGATCCAACAACAAAGGGAGTAAAAGCAGAGATTTAAGTGTAGCAGGCAGATGTAACCCAATCTAGAGCCAGCCCGGAAAGCAATTAACTATAATACTATTTGAAAAGTGACATTCAGAAAGATTATCTTGGAGTTATCAAATAAAAATGCAAAAATGATGCCCAGTATAATATTTAAGAAGTCATCAAAAAGAATTAATTTCAATAGATTAAGGGATAAGCTTCAGTAAAGTGATAAATCTATTTACTTGGAACAGCCATTATCAACAATGTAAATAAAATACTGCTTTCCATATAATACTTATAATGGAAGAAAGCTAACTTTTTTTTTTAACTATATATTACACTTTAAGTATCCAATCTCATTTAATCTTTATAGTAACCTAAAACTGGCATTACTCTCATCTCATATGTGAGCAAAGAAGATTCAGAAAGACAAATTTATTTCAAATGTATTTAATACTGGAAAAAGTCAATTTCTAACTCAGGACTCCTGAACTTCAAAAATTCTAGCTTAATTTTTAATTCTATGCCATAATCCTTTATCTTCAGATTAAAAATATAATCAGCTCATTATCACTTCTAGTTATTAAGAAAATTTTCATATATTACATAATTGTATCTTTAAAAAAAACTCAAGGTGGTTAAGTGAAAACCATTATAAGACTGAAAATTCAAAAATGAAAAACATACAAACATAGAATTTATCTCTACTTCTTCCTCATAATCCTACTGAAACTGTATGATGGGACTTTTTTTCTTTTTCTGGCACCGGAAGTAGAACCCAGGACCTTGCGTTTGCCAGGCAGGTGCTTGTACCGCTGGGCTATATCCCCGGCCTGACGGGACTTTTTTTAAAGGGGAAAAGGCACATAAACTACTCAAAACAAAAAAGTACTCAGATACAGAGGCATAAGCCTTTAGTTCCAACTAAACTGGAGACAAGAGAGACAGAGACAGAGACAAAGACACAGAGAGAGAGAGAGACAGAGAGAGAAGGGAGAAAGAGAGAAGGAAGGGAAGAAGAGAGGGATGGAGGGAGAGGGCAGGCACAGCTATAAAGTTTTAGAAACTGAAAAACAGACTAGTAATAGATGAAAGACACTAGTGATGGATGAAAGATAATTTTCAGATGCAGAAAAGTCAAGAATTGCAAATACAACATACTTTTGATACCGGGGGAAAAAGTGGGAGTCAAGAAAAGAAAATTAGTTGAAACTTGAAACACTTAGATCCTTGGCTGCCTTCCCACACATCACAGGAAGATCAGGAATTTACTCTTAAGAGAAGAACTGAATCTGAAGGCATATGCTCACACTAGGCACTGCTGGGGTGGCCAAGTACTACACTTAAAAGAAAATAAGTACAGTTAACATAATTTACAGTGCAGCTACTTAGATCTCTTTCATTTACTCCAAACATTAGCAGCCAGAATTAAACTACTTAAGGCAGAAGAAGACTAGAAGTTTTCTTTGAAGAATCTGGTAAGTCCAAGAAAATCCTCAAGATGCTGACAAGAGACGGAAAAGGGGAGTAAGTGTTCCTTAATAAAAGATTCTAGCTAGGAAAGCCAACAAGGAAGTCACTAGTGAACATGTCCTACTCATACACACAAAGCTTTCTGCTGTTCTTTAGTGCCCACTTTTATATACAAGTAGGTAGTCAGACATTTTTAGAAAATGTTGAAATGAAAGATAAAAACAGAGAAAAGGAACTTACAGATAAGATAAAGAACATGAAAAAAAAGAACATAAAAACCATCAAATCAAGCCAGGTGTGCTGGCACACACCTGTGATCCCAGTACTGGGAAGGCTAAGGCAGGTGGATTACCACAAGTTAAAGGCCAGCCTGGGCTACATAGTGAGTTCAAGCCCATACTGAAGTACATAGCAAGACCCTGTCTCAAAAATAAATAAATAAGGGGCTGGGGATTTAGCTCAGCGGCACAGCGCCTGCCTGGCAAGCACAAGGTTGTGAGTTCGATTCCCAGTACCCGGAAAATAAATAAATACATAAATAAATAAATAAATAAATAATCATCTGATCAAAGACTATAATAATGTTATAAAATAAAAGGATTTTTTTTTTTAAGAAAAGGAGTTGTCAGAGTACAAGGAAGAAAGACTAGAAATTTAAAGCATGATAGCAAAAATGAAAAGTTCCACAGAAATAGTGAAGGATAAAGTTAAAGAATACAGAAAAACAGACCTGATAACACAATCCCGGCACTCAGAGGCTGTGCCAGTAGTATTGCAAGGTCGAACCCAGCCTGCGCAGCTTAGTGACTTAGCAAGACTCTGTCTCAAATTAAAAAATTTTAAAAGGGCAGGAATGTAGCACAGTATAAAATCCCTGGGAGTTCCATTCCTAATAGTGAGGAAAAAAACAAATACAGGAGTAGTAATAATACTTACAGAGCACTTACTATTGCTGGGCTCTATTCTAACAGTTTTACATATATCACTTCATTCATTTTCAAAAATCTTAAAATATCTGTTTTTCTTTATTTCACACATGAGAAAACTTAGGTACACAGTTCAATCTTCCCACAGTTACACTGCTGGTAAGTAGCAAATCTGGGATTGGAACTTAGAAAGTCTCACTTCCAAATCCAAACTTTTAAGCACTTTGGTATAGAGGTGGGAAAAGTAAACAAACAGAAAGTGGGAATGACAAAAGGCAAGCAAGTTAAAGGATCAAATGAGACAGTTCTACCTCCTGAATCACAGGTGATCCAAAAAGAATAGAGAAAAACAAAACAAAACAAAACAAAACTCTCAAATTTCTAAGACATGAAAGTCATGAGTGTCCAAAATGAAAAGGCACACAGAACATAAAACATAATGAATAAAATAAAATCCTGTATCAACAAATATTACTTTGAAATGTTCGAACTCTGAAAGTTACTAAGACTTTTCAAGACAAAAACATGACACCAGAACCAAAGAGAATGGTATCTTTAAAATTCATAACAAAAATGACTTCCAACCTAGAAGGTTTTACCTAGCTAAACCATGATAAAAGAGAAAGGCTAGAAAATTTAATTTGCAACCTATAATGAAAAGCCTCAAAATATTTACTTTTTATCTATCCATATTTCCTAAAGTTACTGGAAATGCTCTACAAAATGAATAAATACAATGACAAAAAAGAAGAAGATCAGAAAAACAGTAAAGAGAAACAGAGTCCAGATTAGTGTGGGAAGACTGAAGTTCCTAATAACATGCCATTGATAGACTATTGATGACTTAAACATACCTAAGGAAGAGTTTAGGAATGAGTTCATGATAGCATACAAAGAATAAAAAACATAACCACCACATTCCTCCTTTCTTATGAAAAACAACTCTGACAACCTTATTACTCAGGCAAAATAAAAAATGAGTTTTGAAAGGTACAGTCAGACAAACAGATGTTTAAAAACTTTGCTATCTAAAAAAAATTTTTTTTCCAAATGACACTATAATGATCAAATAGTGTGCAAGTCTTCAAAGTAGCTGCTAGCTGTTTCATTCTAGGAAAATCATTTAGCATCTATGGGCAAAAGTAATACCAATCTCAAGTTTTCTGTGCAGAATTGAACAAGAGATGTGAACATTCCCAGCATACTGCCTAGCACATAGTAAGCACTCAGTTAGTTATTCTTGCTAAATGTCCACTATAGTTTCAGAAAGAGATGAAAACAACTGGCAGATACAGACTCCATCTACTACATACCTTCTGTGTTGTTGTGTTTGTTGTCTGTGTTGAAGGTTTGGTAAAGGTTATTTTCACAGGAGACATGTGGGGTGGTAAGGAGTTGGCAATGCTCTGCATGATGTTGCTCATCTTGGGACTGCCACTCACAGGCACAGTGATCGTCTTTGAAACTGGAACAACGGCCTTTGGAACTTCCTTTAGCACAACAGGAGAGGAGCTAGAAGAGTTTGTTCGCCTTCGTTTTCTGGGTTTTTCATCTTCATCTGAACAGCTAACACCTGAAAAGCAATGACAATATTGCTACAATTACACCAAACTAATACTGCATTTTATATTTTTAAAAATGTGTGTGATCAAGTCAATCTTGACCTCTCCCTTTGCCTTACGGCCAATCAACCTATAATAATCAATCTATCCTCCCTCAGAGACGTTGTCTCTGAATGCCTTCTCTCTCTTCTTTAAACCTATGTCCATTATTCCACATCAGGCCTTCTTATCTCTTGCCTGTATTTTAGCAATAACCTCCTAGAAGATGTCTATGCCTCCAGTCTTTCAACTTCTACCCTCCAACCTACCACCAGTTACAAAGTTTCTTATCTAATCATGCCAATGCACTGCCTAAAAATCCTTTAGCAGTTTTTAATTTTCCTGTAAGATGAGCCATAAAATCATTACCATATCATTAAAGGCCTCTCACATCTTTCCAAGAACACAAAAGTATCTTGCTGCACCTAACCATGTTCATCCCTACAATCTTGGTATGCTAAACCATTCCCCAAAACCAACTTAGCACATTCTACTTCTGGGTCTTTACATAATATCGTTCTTTGGGAAATACCACCTACCATCAAAGACCTTTTCATCATCCTTCAACTGCCATCCTACAAATCACTTCCTCAGGGAAGTGCTTCCTTACTTCTCCTCCAGCCTATCTCCTCTGAGTTTATAAAGTACTTTGTACCTTCTTTTCTATACCACTTACCACATGGCAATATAACTGTTTATAAGCTTCTTTCCCATTTTTTAGGAGCTAAATCTTATTGTTTGTTTCCTTGGTACGGTATCTTAGACATATAAAGTTAGGTGAATAGGTGATTTGATTCTATTCCCAAACTAATGTCTGTGTGACTTCTGAATATAAAACAACATACTTCTTGGTATTTAAAACTATGTATTTTGAGAAATGGTTTCTTCATGTTTGAGACTCTCACTCAGTATTTTAAAAAAATCATTAAAAAAATAGGTCTCTGGGGTTATTTTATTTTATTTTATTTATTTATTTTTGGTGTTGGGAATTGAACTCACAACCTTGCAATTGCCAGGCAGGCACTATGCCGCTGAGCTTTATCCCCAGCCCCTCTCTGAAAAGACCACCTTGGCTAAATTGAAGGAAATCAGTCATAAATTTAATAGCTCATGATTCATAGCTTTTCCTTTATATACTAAAACCTCAATTTGTATGCACACTTTAAAAATCAAATGAGATACATAAATCTACGTAAAAAATCTCTATAAAGTAGGCATACAAATTATACAGCATGACTCATGGAATGATGATAAAATACAACTTCTCACAGCTTCAACGTAATTCTAACTCTAATTTCAATTAGGCTTGAGAACAACATAGTGTCATCTCTGTTTACAATAGCAAACAGCCTCTAAAAGTTAAAAAGAAATCAACTTTACAACTATACTGAGTAAAATGAAAATTAAATATTAATGACTTCCAGTTAATATATAAAAAGCAAAGCAAAAGGTAAAAATAAATTTTAAAAGAAAGGGACAGCAACATAAAAGTAAAAAATAAATTCCTTCATAGGGTAGAATAAAGCAGTTAAAACTGCAAACAGAAACTTTTAAAAAACAGTCAATTAGAAAAACAGACATTCCTCATTTAACAACCAAGGTTAGTTCCTACAAACTAGTCATTAAATGAATTGGTCACTACATGAGAAGTTGTATGTACATTACAAAATTGAGAACAAACAGTCAAAAGAAAGTCCAACTTGATGACTCTGCTTTTATTTGTACAACTCTTACATACAGTACAATGTATAGCAGAACATAAAACTACACTACTGTACTATACAGTACAATGAGCAAAAATTACAGTACTGTACTATAAAGGAAGCCACCATAGGACACACTGCCACTCACATTCCTGTGTGGTAAGTCCAAATTAGGTTGTAAATCAGAGCAACAGATTGTTAAATCCGAACTGTTGTTGAACAGGTAGGTCGTTAAACAAGGAATATCTGTATAAAAGACTTTCAGAGTACTTCACTGACTCTAACAGTTGAATGACATATTATATGAACTAATTTAAGAAAAGCACTACAAAGATTATAATCACAGAAGTAAATATGGACTACATTACATAAGCACATTCCTTCAGTATGTATTCACATTTCTACGCCATTATAATCAAAACAAGTGAATACTTGAAGGAGAGGTCTGTTTAAAGGCAGATTCCCCACAAAGAACAAAAAAGAAGATACTTCTCAAACCCCAGAACTGTTTAAAAATCAACATACACCTAGTCACATAGACAGAAAGGAACTCTTTGGAGTCTTCAAAAACTAACCACTTGTAATTGCTAGTGGCCTGATTATTTATTCCAGGAAGGCAGATCTAATCAGAGCCTACACTCCAGTATTTAGCCAAGATGGCCCTGATAACACTGAGAGTATCACTTACTTTTGACATAAACAGTACTTCCACTTGGCAAGACAACTACATTGGAGGCAGGACTGGCAGGTCTTGGAGACTTAACCGTTGCTATGCTGCCACTTGGAACAGGGGTAGAGGTTGGGGTTGACGTGGTACTTGTGTAGGAATAGCAAACCACTACTGAAGGAACGATAAAAAGAGTCTGCTGTTAACTTTCACCAAAAGGCATACAGAAAAATTATTTTTATTGCAGGCCAATTTTAACATTTTAATGTGATCCAAAGTTAAGAGGCCAATACTAGGTATTAGGTCTGCAGGTTAAAAGGTATTGACACCTTTCCTGAAAATCACCACCTAAATTGGGTTTTCCCCCACTATATAAGCTTGTTTACAGGTGACTTTGACAACGGACAAGAATGTAGTTACAAAGAAAACAAATTTAAAATTATATTAAGAAAAATGAAAATCATTTTTCATTCACAGCAAGAATTTGACAACAGGAAAATACTTGTATCTCTTTTTAGCACTAAGAGTGTCAATGATGGGCTGATGGGCAGTTTTTCCCTAACCACAGCTATTTCCAATGTATTGTAAGGAAGAACCAACGTAAGGTTCTTTTATATAAACCCACTCACTAGTCATTTGCTATGTGCAACAGTAACTCAACTAAAGTAACAAATTCAAATTTCTACCTCTTTTTCATTCAACAAAAAATAGTTCAATCAACAGTAAGATAGGCAATATTTACTGAGTAACAAGCACTATGCTAATTCCCTTCTATACATTATCACCACTTCTCACACCATGACCACATTTTAAAGATGAGGATCCCAAGGCTCACAGATGCTAATTCATGCTGAAGGTCAGAGGGCTAGGAAATGGCAAACTATCAAACACAGATTTGACTAAATGGAAATCCTACATTCTTACCACTCTACCAGACATCTGGTAAGCGGAAAAGATAAAAGTAGGAAGAAAGGAAAGATGCCTCTCCAACAACAAAGTAAACAGGAAACCAAAGAAGGCTAAGTTTGTACACCGATAACTGCTTCCTTGCAAATATAACTATCTTCAGCCTAAAACAGCCCAGCATTCAAGAAGAGTGTCTCACTCTCCTCTATGGCCCTATTGCTAGGTAAGAAAAAATAATTCCTCAGAGTAGTCTGACAAATGCATTGTTTTCAGACCCACTGTCATGCAAAACCAGCCTAAGCTACTGGGAGTCAATTCAAATATGGGGGCCTCAGAAGAATTCAAGGATTTTTAAAGCATGTGTCAATTACTAGATTAAATAACAATAAGAAAAACTCTCCATCTGCCAGGTAATGGATTCAGCACATTGACTAGAACAGAGAGGTAGTGTATACCATCAATTCCAGAAGATAAAAACAGAGCTTTATTTTCTAAAGCTATCAGTTCAGCATCTTTTTGCAGCAGCTCAATGACTTCTGTCATCTTGTTCATTCTCTACTGGTATGCATGAGGGCTTTCTATCCACTTCTAGTAAGACACAATGAGGTCAAAACTTCATTCCAAGAAGGGCTTTTGTAATTTTTCCAATAACATAACACATTTTCAACAAAAGGAAGATTTAATTTTGGCTGAGACTAAACACTTTCCAGTTTCTAGTTTCACAAGAGTTGCCCACTATGTTTCATAACCTTTAAACACTAGGATACAAATAGGTAAGAAATAGGATAATTTTCCAGAATTTTTCTTGTGTCGTTCTAACCAGCATGTCAGGTCTGGAGAACCAGGTGCCCGGGGATGAAAAGAAAAGTAAGAGAAACAAGAAAAACAAGACAGACAAAGTTCTGGGATCAGGGGGCTTATAGCCTTAGCCTCGAATACCAATTTCAGTCACCTTTTACTGAGCGAGAACCAAGGGTGTAGCTAGTACAAATGGGCAGATACCAAACATTTTAGCAAGGATTATTAAAGGATTACCCTTCTCCACATGTAATCCAAGACATGCCTGTAATCCCAGCACTCAAGAGGCTGAGATAGGAGGATCGCAGTAAACTCAAGGTTCATCTGGGCTGTATAATGAAGCCTTATCTTAAGAAACTCTAACAAATAATAAACAAATCATTGTGTCCTCAATGCATTCTAATCAAAGAATGTCCTCCACATTCTTGAAAATTCCAAAGAAAATAATCTCTAACAAATATTTTCCTACTCACCTTCTTTGCTTCCTGTTTCTGCAGGCACTGGAAGAGATGCATTGTGCTGGATAGCTGCATTGGCAACAGCATTAGCTGTTACAGTGAAGGCTGTTTGGGGAACTAGCCGGGGCATCAGTGGTACCAATCGACGACCTTCAATGGACCATTCTGAAGAGCTATTAGGTCCAGACATACTAAACAAAAGAGAAAACACTGCTACAAGGGTTCTCAACTGCTAAAAAAACAAATCAAATGTAACTTACTAAATTATAATAAGGACCCTTAATGAACAAGAGGCTTTATTTTATGCAAGCAAGATCAAAATTACAAATAATTAGAATTCAAGGAATGTCACAAATTTAAGTTCTTACATATTTTATTCTATAATCTGAATCTTACAAGGCCGGGGATATAGCTCAGCAGCACAAGCACCTGACTGGCAAGTGCAAGGTTCTGAGTTCAATTCCCGGTACCAAAAAAAAAAAAAATACAATAAATCTTATGATGAACATAATTGAAACTACGGCAAATTTTTCTATGGCTTTTAAATAAGTACTAGTTTTGGTTTCATTGATTCATCTGTTTTCACTAATGAAAACTGGTATTTTTACTAAATTTTAGAATGGAATTTTGTAATTAAACCAAGAAAGTAAAAAGCATTCATAATACTAACAATCAGATTTTTCTTTAAAACTGAAGATGGAATTCACTGAACCTTTGCAAAATTATGTATCTGCCTGCATGGCCAGAGGTTCTAAAGGCTTTTAATTAAGGGAAATCGAGGCAGTAAACAAGGGGAACTAGGTAGTAAAGGATAGAAGAAAGCTGTATTCATAACAGCATGTGTTACTAATGATGTTTATTACATTACATTATATTACATATACAGTGCCTTCCTGTTAAAAATAGACCAGATCAAAGGATGCTAAAAGAAATCTGCCACTATTTTATTTATATTTATGTATACCACATTCACTCTAAAAGTAACTTGAGTTATTTAGGCTTTCTCTTCAAGCAGACACCCCTCTCAGTTTCTGTACCCTAAATTTCTTGAGCAAGTTTCATCTTGAGAATCTGACCAGAGGTGAAATACCAAAAAAATAGTTGTCAGCCGGGTACCTATAATCCCAAAACTGGGGGAGACTGAAGCAGAAAGATCACAAGTTCAAATCCTGCCTCAAAATAAAAGATAAAAATGTGAGCGCCTATTCCAAAATAAAAAATAAAAATGGCTGGGGATGTAGTTCAGTCCCCATACCACAAAAAGAAAATTGTCACTTCCCTTGACTTGGTTCCATGAAAAACCTTGACTAATCATTAGCATCAAATATTAACATTCATCTAGAAATAATCAATTTCTTCACAAATTCAGAAATATTTCTATACTTTTTTTGAAACCATGAGATTCTACAATGTAACTTAAGAGTTTAAGACTCTTTATATACTGATTCTTCAGATTTAGATGGGCTACATAAAAGCCTTGGTTAGTGGGTGACAGAATAATAACAATGATAATCATGGTAGTAATGCTAGTTAAAATCAATTAAGAATTTATGACAGGCGTTGTTAAAACAATTTTATGTGTATTAATTCATCATTTTCTCTATCTCTATGAAATTGGTAGTCTTTTTATCGCCATTTCAAAAAAGGGAAAACCAAGTCAGAAGACAGGATAAATAGCTTGCAGAAGGTCCACAACTAATCAATGTCTCCTTCAACTAACATATTTCAGCTACTACAATTATATGGCATATACGAAGCAAGTATAGATGTTTCAAATGAGCTTGATGTCTAACTTTTTGCCTTTGATTTATATCAATTGGGAACTGTTGTCCAATTGTTACCAACTTTTCACTGAATGGAAATAAAAAAAAAAATCACAACTTAAGAATGTAAGTTAGTTCAAAAAGGAATTTCTAAAAGCTGATAAATCCAACTGGGTTGGAAAAATCTATAAATTCCTTCATTTTAACACAGTTCTACCTAAGACAAAGAAAAGAGGACTTCTTGAAACCCCAATAACTGACAAATTAACCCCAATAACTGACAAATTCCATAGTACACTAGTTTGGAAACAAATGATGTGAACAAGAAAAGCAGAAAAGGGCTATAGGTAATTGTTAAAGGAAAAAAATTCTAAAAGCTATTCAATATTTTGTTGGCCTAACTTATTTTGCTATCATTTTATTAGATTATTACTAGTCAACTTGGTTGGTATGAGTTTACCACACAAAGTGATAGCTACACTTACCTGCTGCATTGTTTAAATTGTGGCGGAATTACAAAAAGTTAATTATTTAAAGTCAAGAATATACACTATGACTAAAAAGAGAAGCTTGCAGCGCAAAAGACAACTGCAACTTTTAGAAAAACTTATAAATCTTCCAAATTTCCACTCATGCAAACATGCTTCAACTTTTTCAAGTGAGTGAAAAATTAAATAACATGTTAGAATTAGATTTCCTATTTGTTTAGTAATGAGGTTGTAAATATGCATTAGTTACACAGTCATCTAAACTGAATTTACAAATTTTAAACATCTAACTGCAGGGTTTTACTGAGATACCTTAGTCTCAATGTAATACCTATTTTTGCTAATATAGCAAATGAGGGTAGAAACCGTGCTCTAGTCCCTATTCCAAAAAATCTAAAATGATACTAATTAAATCACCTTGGCCGTCACATCATTCTTTAGTGTAAAAGCAATCCTCATCCCTCACACAGAAATACAGTATCCTGGGAATGTCTGACTAATGGTAAAAGGGTTAAAAGAGCAGAAATTCTAGACAGTCACTTCATTCTTACTCTAGAGACAACATGGGTAAGCACAGCCCAATTTAAAAATCTGAAGCTTTAACATTCTGTTATAAATCAAATCTGAATTACAGCATCAGACTTAGTATGTGGCCTGGTGCCAAACAATAAACATATGTTATGCTTTAAGCCACAAGCAAGGTTTCTCTTTGATTCCCCAACACCCCACTCCTTTTGTTCCCTTTCCTTTGTGTGCTCAATCTTCTAGGCTTTCTCATCACTTTTCAACTACATTCCTTCTGGCCTAAACTGCTCTTTGGGGTGGGGGGAGGGAAGGGAGAGGAGAAAGGGAATGCAGTCAGTTCAGATGCATTCCTCGCACTGTTTTTTCAAGCTCAGAGTATGAAGCCCTCCCATAGATAATCTCTGGAACTAAGCTCTGTTGCTACTTCTAAGAAGAGCACAATCACAGATCTCTATTAACTCTTGGGCTCATCAAATAAATACAGTATCTGGTAAAACTAAACCACAATATAAAATATTAAAACAGGAGTACAGAAAGACCTAAGCAGCTTAAAATTATACACTGAAGTAAACTCTTTTCAAAAAATGAAATTCATATATTAAGGAATTCAGAAAGTAGAGAAAAAAAAGAGGAAACACAGGCAGATAAAAGCCAACTCTCAATTATCCATGCTAATGGAGAGAGGAGGGAAAGGGAGAGGTCAAATAGATTAAAGAAACTCATTTAATATCCAAAAACATTTTGGCAAATACTAGTAAATTCTTCACCAAATCTTTTCCAGGCCAACTAACAAACAGTAAAATTACTAATTAAAATTTTTACCTCCTCTCCCTTCCCACCCTCTGACTAGAGGTACTCCCAAGCAGCAAAATGGCTAAAGGATGGGAAGTATTAGGAAGGGGAGGAGGGGAAGAGAAGGAAAAGCAAGGGGCATGGTTAATTCATAAATGAAATAATGTGCCCCTGAATAATTGAGAGCTTCAATTTGGAAATAAATACAAGAAAAAGCCTGAAATAATAATAACCTATTTGCATACCTGTAACTTGGTCTTTCACCCAAATATAAGGATAAATTCATTCTTTAAAGGGGAAAAAAGGAAAAGGAGACTAAATAAATGTTATCCTTTAAGTATGACACTGATGCATCAACTTACAACTAGTTGCCCCGCAATACTGTTGCAATTTTTCTAAGATATTAATTTTGTCTCTAAGTGCCTCTGAAATGCAATCTACTGTTTACTATTTTATGACCTAGAACATAAATTTCCTATTACCAGTTCTCAAGTTAGAATCTAGGCTCAGTTATCATTTTTTGAGAATCTCAACTCAAAAGTCTGGAGCTAATTAAAGAAGGAATACATTAGTATTTGAATGTTTCAACCATGTTAGCCTGACACTGAAATACTGTACTAAAATGTTCAATGGAAAGTTTCCAAATTTTCACAGTGCATACTTACTACTGAAAAATCTCAAAATTCTATGATAAACAGCTACTTTCAAAATATGATGTTAAAAAGCACCCCATTTTATGTGTTAAATAAAATGAGGGAGAGTGAAGAACACAAAGCTAACAAATCTTTGGGGTAAATGAAAATTTTGCCAATTGGTTTAAATACATAGTTTGAGTTATGACATTATGGAAATGCATTGAATTTTTCCTTTAGTTTTATTTCAAACAAAAATTTTATTAAATTTTATTAAAACAAAAATTAAAAATGAATAAATTATATCTTAACATATTTTTATGCAATATTTCTACCATCTTATATCAACACTAAGGATAATTTCTGTTCCTTTCTATACTTTGGAGGCACTGTCTCCATATATACTCAATGCTTGATCCCTGCCCTCAGTCCACCCTCACCCCATCTGTCAAATAGTTATAAAGATCTCAAAACAATTTGGTAAGAGTCCTTTACCATTTTACTTGTACTTTTTAAAGTAAATTAAGATATATTCATACATCTTAAAAGCAAGAAATATGTTAGCATTTTTTCTGAATCTCAAAATACATGAGATAATTAAAGCTAGATACAAAACAGTTATGCCTAAAGTAATACACATATCAAATATCCCATTACAAAGAACCCCTAAGAGACTTACAATTTGAGGAGGCATACTATTTTGTTACCGAACTTTATTTCAAGTAAGTGATCTAAACTTTGGTGGTCTTTAGTTATACAGAAATTACCTTAAAAGAGGATTTGACCTAAGTACTTTAAACTAGCGTAATAAAATGCAAAAACCATAACCAACTGAATAAACAGTGACGACTATGGTCAGAATCCCTCAGTAGAAATAGTGTTATTAAGATAAAGGACTCAGGAATCTGCTACACAATAGGAAGACTGTTTCAAAACTACATTATACTATGTCATAAAAAAATCAGGGGTGGTAGACTAATGGCTTACTTATGTGCAATTGTTGTTAACCGTTCATCGTTTACTGCTCTCCGAACTTCAGCACGGTGGCGTTCTGTTGAGATGCTATGAAAAAAAATAGCCATTATAGAACTCTGCCAAGCAGGCAGCTCTCTTCTATACTTTAATGTTTAAGTCAACAGGCGCGGGGGTGGGGGGGATTGTTTTGTGAAAAGACATAGTGGATGCATAAGACCTTCAAATGTTTCACAGTCTTAAAAAAGAATTCATACTGACTCTAAAACTGCAGAAAGAATTTGTTACAAATTAGAAATCACAAAAAGACAAACACAGCCTCATGTCAAGGCATTACTTCCAAATCTCAGAAATGTTAGACCAGAGACAAGATTAGCAGAGTGTCCTATTATCTAAATGTGCAAACAGATGTTTAATGGCCTCCCAATCATGACTGCTGAGAAGAGGATTTGGGCACTTAGAAGAAAGCCTTCTAAAGTCTTTTCTAAAGCTTAAGAGTTTTATGTCCACTGAATACAATAAAGAATGAGAGTGGCAAGATAATCTGTATCCTGTGGCAATATGCTACGAAACTTGATGCCAAGGTAGTATCAATACTTCTATGTGTCTTATATTTTATGTTACCAATGGGAAAAATATGCTTATATTTTAAAAAGATGTGGTCTTTTTACACAATGGAGGACCACTTGACCACAAAGAAGGATAAACTAAAGACTTTTATAGGTAAATGGATGCAATTTGAGACCATACTCATAAATGAAATAAACCAGACATACATGTGCAAACATCGTACTGTCTCCCTAGTGTGAAAAACTGAAAGAGTAAATAAGATCCAAAATGTACAACAGCTACTGTAAAATGGGAAGAAACTGTTCAAAAGGAAAGAAAAACTGGGTTGGGAAAAGAGAAAAGAAGGAAGGGAAAAGCAAAAAAAAAATTTATTTGTGTGTGTGTGTGTGTGTGTGTGTGTGTATGCATATATACACATGATAGTTAAGATAGTTACACTACTCATTTTTCTTAGTTCATTGAAAAGAAAGGTTTGCGCTACTATTGTTTGGACAATTAAATGCCTGTATCTTATACTCTGAGTAACTAATTTAAAGATAAAATATGCAATGCACTATCCATTGTTATCCTTCTATTACCTTGTTTTGAAATTTTGAAGTTTTTTTCTTTTTAAAATAAAAAAAATTTTAAATGTGCTTATACTGATCTTGTGCTTATATTAAAAATATAAAATAGTAAAAAACTTTTTTAAAGTCTATACCCATTCTATTCACAAATAACACTACTCTTCCAACTGTATTCTTTACTATTTAAGTTAAACCTATACCATGAATTGGAACATTTAAGGGGATAAAAAGCAGAATTTATGAAAAAACATATACAACAAAACAATAAGACTGAGAATTTAGTTTAACTACATCCTTACATTAATATTACTTAATAACAGGAAGAACCCCATCCATCTTTTCACTTACAAAAGAATAGGACAAAGTATCTTTAAATGTAAACAGCAAACAGTTACAACAACATTTTCTGAGAAAGCTTAAAATGTTAGAATGAATGAAGAAAAGTGATCCTGGCTTTCCTCATAATATCCCACCTGCTTCCTCAGAGGGGTACTTTTATTTTTCTTTTTCCTCTTTCACCCAACCCAGGCTCACTCTGCAGAGCCAGTTTCTCCCTCACTCTTCACTTTTACTTTTCCAAATAAACTTTGCAAAAGAGAGACACAGAGAAAGAGACAGAGACAATGTGCGCAAGAGAGAGAAATAAAGAAACGTATTAAGAAATCCCTTTCACTTGAATTTTTTTATTAGATCCAAATGCCACTCTAGTGAAGTTGAAGGAGGACTATACTTAAAGCTATGACTACATAACCACCACCCAGTTATATGTTAAGGCATCTTCCTTGCATGTCTTTCTTCCCTCCCACAAATGCCACCTTAGCTCTTCATATGCATTTGCTACCAGTTTTTCTTTCTTCCACTTTTATAAAACATACTGCCTTTCCCAGGTGGACCAAAACTAAACCTGCTTTGAACCCTTTCTGATGAGATTACAGAGCAAAGGGTAAGTTGCACAATTTTCTGTAACAGAGTACACAAATAGGATAGGATCTCTAAGCACCAACAATTTGAATACTTCTGTTCTTCAGTTTAATTGGAGAGTGGAAAGTAATGAACCCCCTCAGAATGAAATTTCTAGAGTCACATTTCCCAAACTTTTATGATAATTTACCTAAGAACTTTTGAGAGCTCTCCAAGAAGATCTTTCTTTTCCTTGGTGAGATCCCCCTGTGCCCGAAGTGCAGTGATAACTCCAGCATATGCCTCCAATTCTAGAAGAAGAAAATTATTTTATCAAGATAGGCCTTTAATATCTTAATACTCTGGCTAGGTACAATTAAACTTCAGGGTTAGAAATCTAAAATCAGTCAAATGCAAGTTTAAATCCTTTCAAAAATTTTATCTAACAGAAGATTTAAAAGTGGCTTTTACAATTTGTACCATTTTGTTTTCTATCGCTTCACAATTGTCATGTATGTGACATGTTCAGATAGAAAAATCTAACAGATTCAGAACAGGAAATAGGCCCCCAGGTGATATAATAAGACTGATAAGAAAAGGTTTTAGATTACTGAAAAGTACCTTCACTGATCAACCTTCAAAATAATTTCTTAGGGGGGGCTGGGGATTTAGCTCAGCGGCAAAAGCGCCTGCCTGGCAAGCGCAAGGTCGTGAGTTCGGTTCCCGGTACCGGAGAAAAACCAAAAAAA